GCACACATGCACACATGTGCACACAGTCTCTCTCTCTCAAAATAAATAAATAAACTTTAAAAAATATGTTTTGGGGCTCAGTTGGTTAAGCCTCCAAATTTGGCTCAGGTCATGATCTCACAGTTTGTGAGTTGGAGCCCCACGTTGGGCTCTGTGCTAACAGCTTGAAGCCTGAAGCCTGCTTCAGATTCTATGTTTCCTTCTCTCATCCCCTCCCTGACTTGTGCGCGTGCGGGCGCGCTCTCTTTCTCTCTCTCTCTCAAATAATAAGTAAACATTAAAAAGATTTTAATAAAAAAATAAAAAATATGTTTCAAAAATAAAGTAAAATAAAATCCTTGGCTATGTAGAGTAGAAAATCCAAAAGAATCAACAACAACAAAAACTTCCTAGAACTAATAAGCAATTATAGCCAGGTTGCAGGATATAAGGTTAATATACAAAAGTCAATTGCTTTCCCAAAAGTCAACTGTTTCCTTGATAAACAAGTGGAAATTGGAAATAAAAACATAACACTATTTACATTAGCATCCTAAAAATTAAAGACTTTAGGGGCTCTGAGTCGTTCAGTTAAGTGCATGACTCTTGATTTCAGCTTAGGTTATAATCTCACAGTTCGTGAGATCAAGCCTCATGTCGGGCTCCATACTAGACATGAAGCCTGCTTAAGCTTCTCTCCCCCTTGGGGCTCCTGAGTGGCTCAGTCGGTTGGGCGTCCGACTTCAGCTCAGGTCACGATCTCGCGGTCTGTGAGTTCGAGCCCCGCATCGGGTTCTGTGCTGACAGCTCAGAGCCTGGAGCCTGCTTCGGATTCTGTGTCTCCCTCTCTCTCTGCCCCTCCCCTGATCATACTCTGTCTCTCTCTGTCTCAAAAATAAATAAAAACATTTAAAAAAATAAAAAGATTCTCTCCCTCTCTCCTTCTGCCTCTCCCCTGCTCACACTCACACGCGTGCTCTCTCTCTCTCTCTGAAATAAACAAACAATAAAAAAATGAAGAATTTAAGTATAAATATAACAAAATATGTAAAAGATATCTATGAAGAAAACTACAAAAATCTGATGAAAAATAGAAAATTAACTAAAGAAATGGGAAAATATTCCATGTTCATCGATAAGAAGACTCAATATTGTCAAAATATCAGTTTTTCCTAACTTGATCTATAGATTTAACTCAATGCCAATCAAAATCCCAGAAGGTTATTTTGTGGTTATCAACAAACCGATTCCAAAATTTATATGGAAAGGCAATAGCCTTTCCATATAAGTCAGTGGGCCTACATAACCTGACATTAAGACTTCCTATAAAGCTACAACAATCAAGATAGTATAGTATTGGCAAAATAACAAATAGATCAATGCAATGCAACAGAGAGGCCAGAAATAGATCCACATAAATATAATCAACTGATCTTTGACAAAGGTGCAAAGGTAATGCAATACAGAAAAAGGTAGTCTTTTCAACAAATGGCTGGAACAACTGGATATCTACCTGTGTAAAATGAATCTAGACCTTGCACCTTTATAAAAATTAACTCACAACAGATCACAGACCTAAATGTAAAGTGCAGAACTATACAATTCCTAGAAGATAACACAGGAGAAAATCTGGGTGATTTGGGTATAGTGATGACTTTTCAGATACAACATGAAAGGCAAAACCTATGAAAGAAGTAATTGATAAATTGGACTTCATTAAAATTAAAAACTTCTGCTCTGCCAAAGACATTGTCAAGAGAATGAGAAGGGAGGCCACAGACTGAGAGAAAATATTTGCAAAAGGCATATCTGATAAAGGATTGTTATCCATAATATGCAAAGAAATACTAAAACTAGAGGCGCCTGGGTGGTTCCGTCGGTTAAGCATCCAACTTCAGGTAGGTCATGCTCTCACGGTTCGTGAGTTTGAGCCCCATGTCGGGCTCTGTGCTGACAGCTTGGAGCCTGGAGCCTGCTTCAGATTCTGTGTCTCTTTCTGTCTCTCTCTGCTCCTCCCCTACTTGTGCTCTGTATCTCTCAAAAATAAATAAATGTAAAAAAAAAAAAAAAAGAAATCCTAAAACTCAATAATAAGAAAATGAACAGCCTGATTAAAAAATGGGCAAAAGACCTGAACAGACACCTCACCAAAGACATGCAAATGGCATATGAGGATATGAAAACATGTTCCACATCATAAGTCATTAGGAAACTGCAAATTAAAATGAGGTACACACCTGTTAAAAAGGCTAAAGTCCAAAACACTGACAATACCAAATGCTGATAAGGATGTGGAGCAACAAGAACTCTTTATTTCTTTGCTGATGGGAATTCAAAATGGTACAGCCTCTTTCAAAAACAGTTTGGCTGTTTCTTACAACACTAAACATACTCTTATCACACAATTCAGCAATTGTGCTTCTTGGTATTTACCCAAAGAAACTGAAAGCTTATATGCACACAAAAAGCTGCATATGGGTGTTTATAACAGCTCTATTCATAATTGCCAAAACTTGGAAGCAACCAATATGTCTTTCAGTAAGTGAATAGATAAATGAGGTGTACATCCAGACAATGGAATCAGTGCTAAGCCATGAAAAAACATGGAGGAAACCTAAATGCATATTACTAAAATTTAATCTATCTGAAAAGGCTACATACTATATGATTCCAACTATCTGACATTCTGAGAAAGGCAAATCATGGAGACAGTAAAAAGATCACAGGTTGTTGGGGTTAGGGGAGAGAGTAGGATGAAAAGGTAGAGCACAGAGGATTTTTAGGGCAGCAAATCTATTCTTTATGATACTGTAATGGTGGATACATGTCATTACATGTTCATCCAAACCCACAGAATGTACAACACCAAGAGCAAACCCTAATGTAAATTATGGACTTTGGGTGATAATGATGTATCTATGTAGGTTCGTTGATTATAACCAGTGTAACACTCTGTTGATATAGGGAAGGCTGTACCTAGTGGAGGGCAGAGAATATACAGGAACTCTGTACTTTCTGTTCAATTTTCTTGTGATCCTAAAACTTCTTTAAAAAATAAAGCAAATAAATAAAAAATAAATCAATCCTCCACTGCCTCACCACCACCAGGAATGTCATAGTGAAACCAAAGTAACAAAGCAGGGCTCTAAGGACCTACTAGACCTGCTCCAGCCACACCAGCTTCCTTGTGAGATCTAGAAAGCCAGGCATGGTACCTCTCCATTCTTTTGCACTTGCTGTGTTTTCTGCCAGGACCACTCTTGCCCCAGAGAGCTGCCATGGTGCCCTCCCACCTCCTTGCATTTATTCAAATGTCACCTCCTGGGGCCTTGCCCATCACACTAATTAAAAATGCAGCTTTCCCCAACTCTTCTCATTCCCCTTCTTTCATTTTTCACCAAAGAACTTATTGCCAACTAATATAATATGTATTTTATTTAATTTTTTGTCTACCTGTCTCCCACTTAGAACTTAAGTTCTAGGAGGGAAGAGATTTCTGTTGTTTTGTTCCCTGCTGTTTGCTGCCCTATCACAGAACCTAGAACATGGTAGACTCTCAACGACGTTTGTTGAGTGAATAAATGAATAGCTTATTAAGAGTGCTCTCATGCGTCCAGACATTTGCCATGCTGTTTTATCTGCCTGGAATGATGTTCTTTAATGTTCAGGAGGAGAAATCCAACTTAGCATCCAAAACTCAGCTCAGGAACCCCCTTTTCTCTTAGGTGCCCCCTGCCCCAGGCAGACCAAACAAAGTAGGAATTTCTTATCTGTATTACCACAGTGCCCCATTTTATGCTTCCAGTAGAGCCCTTATCACAGTGTTTTACAATCTGTGGGGCTCCTTAGAGGCTCCTTATTCATCTTGTATCTGCAG